AATTGATTTTACGGTTTATTTTTTTTGAGCAATTACATATATTTTCATGTCATGCTATATTTTATGCACTTAATATCAGAGATTTTTATCAAAAAAATACAATATTAATTATGATGATTGAACTATAATTATACATTTAATATTAGGAATTTTTCATTAAAAATTTCCTGATATCTGAATTAATTATAACATACCCTAAATTTTGTAGCTCCGGTCTACCGTTACTTACTGTCATAGTAAGTACTATTTAGCTAACATCACACTGAGTGACAATTTATTAAAAATATATTCCTGAAACTAACTCTAACCCTATATGTATATACCAGTAAATGTAAAGATTATTGGAATAGATTAATAGCGTAGTCAAAATTCAGCAGACCAGCCAAAATTTAGGGTCAGAACGCATTGAAGTTATAGCAAAATTCATCAATTCTGATCTGGAATTTTGGCTGATTTACTGAATTTTGGTTGCGCTACTAATTTATTTGAAGGGTTCGAATCCCAATATCGATATCGATATTATTTATTCCTGATATTTATATTAATACCAATAATAAAAATCTAGTTGTTACATAACCCATATATAAGTTAGAAAATAACTTTATTTAAATATATAAGATTAATATCAAATATATAAATATATTTAATATGTATATTAATATAAAAAAAGAATAAAACTGATAAGGATATAATAAGTTAATAAAAATACAATTGAAATATTAGCATTCATAAATTGTACTTTCTATGTAATGGGATTATAGTTATATATGTTTTGGAAGTAGTAGTATATGTACCTGCTATAAACCAGGAATATATTTGATGTACAGGAATTATGCAATCCTTGCTTAACTCGCAGAATTCTTGACCCCACAACTCTACATTACAACTAGAATCATCATCACCTTTAATTTTTATGTGAAATCTTATTTCATAATCATCAGCAGGTTCATACCATCTTACAAATGCGAGATGATATGTTTGTGGGCCTGAAGAAAGGTAGATAGTGTGATCAAAGTAGAATTGAACTTGACCGGGATATGAATCTACTGTTTCATCCTCAGAATTCTTGAGGATTTGATGTGGCGAGCTGAGAATGTAGATCCAAAAATTTCAGACTCCAATTTTAACTGTCCATATTGAATAACATTGGGAAATACAGATATTTGTTCAATTCCTGATATTTGTCCAGGTTTGGTAAATTGAAAACCTTCTACTGTGTCATTATAGAATGCAACTAAAAGATCTAAGATATCAGAATCTAACATAGAATTTTCTGATTTTAGACCAAGAAATGTACCAGGAAATGATTCATAACCAAAAGCTTCTCCCTAGTCGATAATATTTCTTAAATTATAAAATTGAAGAAGATCTTGTGATTCAAATTCATCTGAAATATCTATGCTACCACCTGATATTCTTCCTTTTATTATTGTTAGAGAATCAGATAGTCTTTTATCATTTTCAGCATGTGATACAATTTCATCTAAACAATTATTTGTGAGAATAATTCTTAAAAGTTCTGGTTCTATATTTCTTTGGCTAGTCTTATATGAGCCTATAAAATATAAATATCAGTATTGTTATATAAATATCAGTATTTTATATAAATATCAGTATTGTTATATAAACTATATCGATATTTATAATAATGTCCAATATTACCTAAAATTCCATTCATTCGCTCAAAGGAAAAACACCAAAATGAATATAATGGTCCATAATCCATACAATTTTCACACAAATATAAACTTAAATGAATATTAGATGTGATTTTTTCAGGACCATAATGGTGTTCTATTAACTTTGCTACATTTAATAATCTTTGATGAGCTTCGTTAAGTGAGTCTTTATCTAATATTCTACAAACTAACAGATTACATGCTCTGACAAAGTTTGCAAGAATATGCTGGTCTGGCTCTGTTAATAAGTCACAAGTAATGGTAGTAGCATATATCATTATAAATGTTCGTCACTGGTCTGCTGTATACCCAGAAAATCCTTCTCCTGTAGCAATTTTATAAGGAATTCTCCCGATATCTGATGGAATTTGCAATTTTTTTGCTCTTTTATCCATAAGTTTAAGACTATCAAAAGTTAATTTTCCACCATCTATCCAAAGATGCATAACAATCCACTTTGCAATTTCCAGAAATAAACAATGCATTGGGTCCACAATTACATGTTTGATTGGGTTAAAATAAGGAAGACGATGGAGTTCTGACCATCTCACCAGTTTTTCAGACAGGTGATGCTTTCTTTGATCCTCAGTCTTGCATTGTAACCATTCATATGCATCATGT